TATGAAATTGATAGCTTGGATGTGTAACAAAGTTCGAGAAAAATTCTTTAAAATTTGAGCTTGGTCAATGGAATAATTGTGCCCACCTATTTTCACATCCAACAGTCAAGATTAATGTGACCACCTTGTATCAAAAGTAAATGGTCTCATTCTATACTTTCCCATATATATATGAAAAATGATAGAAACAACCACGCTGCTTAGATATCTATCTAAGCCCAACGGCCTAGATTCAATCTAGGCCGCTCTGACGGTCATAATCTTATTCTGTATTTCTATTTTTATTTATTTTATAAATCTAAATCACTTGAAATTTTAGATGTCTATTAATCTCATCAGGATGCACCTAATAAAAAAATTAAAATATAATCTAAAAATATAAATTGATCAAAATACGTTTGAAAAGTTTAGGGGTATTTTGATCAATTTATTTTTTACAAATTATTTTTTTGATTGTTTTTTAGATTCTCCAATTTTTAAAGAATACATGCCCAGAATTTCAAGTGATTTGGATTTATAAAAAAAAATATGCAGCCTAGCCCGCTATATCCTCCACCCTCCAATCAAGTTGCGTAGTGTGTGTGTGTAAATATATATCTGTATTTGTGTGTGTGTGTTTATATATATATACGGGTTGGGTCTGGGTCGGGTCGACTTGGACCCGGACCTGACTTGGATCCGACTCAAGTCCAGGGTTTTGGAATCAAACCTGATCCATTGGGTCCAAAACTTAGACCCAAATGCAAACCCGGATCGGATCGAGCCGACCCGATTGCCCACCCTAGGTATTTGGCTCGCCTATAACAAATTAGTGAATCACAAATAAATAAATTCAAAATTCCAAATTTCATATTTGTTTCTTACCGTTTATGGGGTCTACTCCAATGTCTCAAAAACCACCTTTTCTTTTTTGAAAAATCGTTTTTCTCTCATTTACCAGACTTAATAACAGCTGCATTTAGATACCAAAAAAAGTTGAATTATTAATTTCGCATATTAGTTGGTGTATATTTATAGAGTTTGCCTCAAAACACAAAGCCAAAACCAACTCATACCGAAAGGGTGCTTAAAATCACACCATTCATGAGTACAGGAAAATTTCTTTAGAACCCATTTCCAACATAACTGAAAACCAATTGACACCAGCAGGATTAACTAAGACACACCAAAACGCATGTCCTTGGCAAATTTCATAAAATTTGTTTCCACATAATCAATGTTGAAAACCAGTAAGCATTTCTAAAAGGAAAACGACTATGTAAGGTACACCTTAAAAACCATAGAAAAAAGTTGTTCTGATGCTTGACCCTCAAATTGGTCATCTCAATCTTGAGATATATGAATGTAAAAAATAAATAAAAAGATGATTTCAAGTCATATGGAAATAGTTCATCTTAAAACGTATTATCTGAACCGTCTATTTTCAAGATTTTTAAATGTTTGTAGATGTGTTTGCTTTGAATTTCATAGTTGGAGGGTAACAAAAGATTTTCATATCATCGCATAGCTTTTTGGCAGTAAGCTCCCAACCGTTACTGAATGATGTGAATTCAATTCTACTATACATATTAGCAATCATTATATTTATTTTTAATAAAAAATTGTATGTACATATCTAGATGTATTGACTTTTTAAACAAAAATACTATGCTATTAAGACAATTGTTGATCCCTGACACTTGTGTCGACGTCCATGAAAAATTGGCCTTGCCAACCTAATTTTTAGGTTATGTAACGTTAACCAGTTATGTCCTATGATGGTCACTATGTGAAAAGTTAGGTCAGAGGCAATGGCCATGGAAATGGCCTAATGTAATCCAACCTTGGGCTATTATTGCAACTAGAAAGTCTGCTTGTTTGAAAAATACTGTTGCATCAAAAACATCATTTTTTTTAATGAATTTTTTGCGCCTTTTGTAATACTCACCAAAAGGATAGAGGCCCAAATCCCCATTAGCATATCACCTTTTCCCATTGACTTACCCTTTATGCGGACTTGCCGGCTTGATTTTCTGAAATTACCCAAAAAGTAGGAAATGTGGATTTCCCATCTTTCAGAGGACACTCTTTAGGATTCAAAATGAACCCCATCAAATGGTTGTAAATCTCATCCCCGTTTAATAAATTAGTAGACGGTGATGGAGGGAGAGTGGACATACCACATGGTGAATCTCATGTTCTTTATGATACTCTTACTATTGTCATCCATCTTTTCATGGACAGATATGACCAATGTTCTAAAATTTGCTCGAGTCCACTCGGTCTCACCAAAGGTGCCGGGTTCAAGTAGTAAGCGGTCCTGTTGAGTTCAAGTAGGAACCGGTTTTGCAAGTTGAGTAGGAGCTGCCAAACTCGGCTTCTCCTTGCATTTGAGCATTATAATTTGCACGTGCCTGCCGAGCCCTGGTCAAATCCATTCAAAGAATTCAGACTCAAAACCCTGCCAAAACTTCTCAATTTGGTATATCATTATCAATCTTGAGAAGAATAATTTCAGCTCCTAAATGAGTATCTTATAACGCATCTGGACAATTCATATTAAGTGCTTACATATCTACTAGATCCACATCATTCTTGGACCTGTTGAGGAAATAAGATTTTCTAAACGAATTTCATGACGAGTTTTGGAGGTGTGGTTCTACTTTTTCAAAGTACAACCAAGGTTAGGGCTGTTAATGGGTCGGGTTGGGTCCAGTGCAACCGTCCCAGATCCATCTTAATTAGGTATCTTGACCTTTGGATGTAAAATTGGATGGTGGCGTTTATTTCATTGATCAAGCTTAAAGTTCAAAAGAAGTTTTTTCGAACTTTGTGACACACTCAAGCTATCAGATTTCACATTAAATGGTTGTAAGTAATTGTGATCACATTGAATCAAAGGTAAATAGTCTCATTGTATGCAATCTCATATTAAGATGGTTGCAATTAATCCATTGACCAAGCTCAAACTTCAAAAGGAATTTTCTCGAACTTTGTGATACATCAAAACTATCAAATTTCACATTGTATAGTTGTAATTAATTGTGACACCTTGTATCAAAGATAAATGATATATATCTAGGAAAAATATATGGTCATCTGCCTCATGTAGATAAGCTAAATACGCCAATGGCCCATATTGAATCTGAGCCGATCTGACGATCATGGATGTCCGGTAGTGTCCCATAGTGTTTGAATTTTAATTTTTTTTTACAAATCCAAATTATTTGAAATTTTAGGCGTGTGTTCTAAAAAAATAGGTGAATCTACGATAAAATATTTTACATAAAAAATTTGACCATAATAGCCCCACAAATTTTCAGGGGTATTTTGGTCAATTTTTTTCATGTAAAATTATTTTTTTAATATTTTTTGTAGATTCGCATATTTTTGAAAAAATCACACAAAAAATTTCAAGTAATTTGGATTTGTATTAAAAAAATTAAAATTCAAATACTATCGGACATCCGTGATAGTCAGATCGGCCCAAATTCAATCTTGGCCGTTGGCACATTTAACTTATCTACATGAGGCTGATCACATT